GGGGGAGGGGGGGGGGGGCTGGCAGCGAGCACTGGCGGCAGGGCCCAGCGACGCGCCACGCCCCACAACACCCCCTCCCCCCCGATACATACACACACACACGCCACTCCCCCCCCCCGGTGTGATTGACAGGCGGGGGAGGGACGGAGAGCGCAACGCGCGTCCTGAGGGACTCGGCCGGGCACCGCCCCCACTCGGTCAGACCCTATTCCAGGGACTGGGCTGGGAGCGTGTCAGCAGACGGCAGCTGCGGCCAGGGCATGAGGGACGCGCCTTGCCCGTTGCCCGTCCTTTTCCTGTCCCTCAGGGGCTCCCACATCCCTCTACCCCCTCACCTGCCGTTTAACGGTCTCGGGGCCGAGGCCGGTTACCTCTTTCTGAGGCCTTTTCTCTCTAGGGGAACACTGGGGGGAAGGGGTTCGGAGTCTGATTGGTTTAATTCTCATTCGAATCCGCCTCCTGGTTCGAGAAGAGACTGGCTATTGGCTTGAGGGGCACGTCTGTCAAATATTGGCAGGCGGGGTGGGGATATCAGGAACTAGGGCGAGGCCGATTTCTTGTCGGCTCCCCCCCCCCTCTCAGAGGAAACCAGGATTGGTTCTCTCGCGTCTGGGTCCGCCTCCTGCTGTAAAAGGCGGCTTCTTATAGACGGTTCAGAGTGTCATTCATACAGTGGTCACCTTTGGAAAGAAACGGGGCTTTCCTTCGCGGCAGTCGTGTGAAGGAGGGGGGAAAGGAGACGCAGGGGTCTCTTTTTGACATTTAAATTGGCCTTAGATGAAGTCTGAACAATTAGGGGGGGCGGAATCACGAATTATTCGGTTTTGTCACTTGGTTTGCTTCTGTATATAAGGAGAGGTTGTAAATCTGTATACATTTAACTAATGAGCATATGTAAATTAGAAAGCCCTTGAGTTCCTAACTGGCCAGAACGGCACAACAGTGACCCCTATAGCTGGGTGAGAAGGGAGGGCGGAAATGCTGCAAACGCGTGGCTTCGAAGTCGGAAGCGTTGTCGCACTTTACGGCAGGCAGTGTGTGGCTGTCCCGGCTGAGGCGATTGCACGTGCGAGTTTCTTTACCGGGAAGGGAAAATACGGGGGAAAGTAGACAGTGTTGCTGGTCTCTGTGGTTCCTAAATGGCGGGTGAGGAGGATCTGGCGACGATCGAGCCTGACCTGAGTGATGCAGAGGATGAGGTGAACTCTTACTCTACCACTTATTTCTAAAGATTTTAGAATGTATTTCTAAAGGAGAGGGGGCAAACCTTCTTTGGCGACCCGCCGACTCTAAGCCACGCCTTCTGATGTCAGTTGTGTGGCTGTTGACCCCCCTCCCTTACCGAAGTAAAAGCTATACATACTCAGAAACATTGCTTTCCTTTTAGCTACTCTCCAGGGCAGTTGGTATTGCCACTGTTCTGTAGTTAAGGTGCTGCGACTGCAATCTAAAATGGATCGGTCTGATTTACTTGTAGCTGCTTTTTCTCATAAGATAGCACTGTGGTGATATGGGGAAATAGTGGGATTGACAGATGAGTACAGAGAGGCATTGGTGATTATAGCTCCTGTTGTTCCAAATGAGTTCAGGCTCAGCCCCTGGGGAGATGTTCCTTTGGTCTTGCTCCCTGACGGCTTTTTATTCCGCAGGAGGATGAACTGGCTGCAAAGAAGCACCGGCAGCTTGTGGATGCACTCAGCAACTTGACTGGAGGAAAGCGGTAAGAGGGGGAAAAAGGAGACATTGTCACTGTGACCTGAATGAAGGAGCTGCACGGCTTGCTTTCCTGCTCCATTCCTAAGCTACTTGTTCTTTTTCTTGCAGGCAGCGAGCAGCTGAGCGTACTGAGGCGAGCAAATATGTCTCGGAATATGATGTGGGTGGTGGAGGTGAGAGACTCCACTGAGGCTTCCTGCCATGCAATGGTTCCTGCTTTGGGCGGAGGCTCTGTTATCTGTGGGTATGGGTGGGAGGTGGGATCTGGCCCAAGGAGCCCGTCTTAATTCCCAGTGCCAAAGGCTGTTGTTTGCCACAGGTGCTGGTGAGAAAGTGGTGCTCTCAGAGCTGCTGCAGCCTGTTTCCACCTCGTCGGCTCTTGGCTCTGTTCGGAGACAGCTGAACAAGGTCCGGCAGACCAAGGCGGTCCAACTCCCACTGAGCAAGGAGGAGAGTGAACAGGTGAGTTCAGTTGGCACGCAGCTTTATCTTGGGGAAAGAGGAAACTGGCTGAGGAAGTGTATGTTTGGACATTGGAGGAAGAAGGATGAGGGCCATGGGTAAGAGGAGACCAGGAGTTGCAAATGGGATGGGAGGCAGCAGGCCGATAAAAGCATTTCCCTGTGTTATGCATTGCTACCTTGCCTTAGAACATTTATTATCACATAGTAAGGGGATATCACTAGATGGCTTCAAAAAGGATTACACAAATTCATGATCAATAAGTCTGTCAAAGCTAACAGCCAAATAGAGCTTTCAGTTTCCAGTGCCAGCATATGAGGCAATGACATACTACCCTTTTGTACCCTGCTTGTGAATTTCTAAAGGAATTTGGCTGGCTGTTGGGAGTGCTGGGCTAGATGGTCAGATCCAGCAAGACAGTTCTTTACCCCCTTATGAGCAGGTGGGTTGGGTGTCTTGGTTGAGAGGAAACTCTCGCTGGTGAAAATGGCTTATGGCTACCTAGCTGCAGCCAATTAATTACACATGTTTCACATCGTCTTGTTGCGCTGATGCTTTCAAATATTTTCTCTCCTTATTAGAAAACAGGCTGGTAAGTTATGTGCAAATTGACCCTGTACTGAAAAAAGCTCCTTGAAGCTGAGCCACTAAGTGTGTTTTTCAGACTCAAATCAGTCCACCTGTTATGCTGCTGCATGTTCTTGGTCATTTTTATGATTCTAAGTGCACTTTGAGATCATGAAAAGTAAAAGTGTCCCTTCAAAGCCCCTCATAGTCACATAATCTGGTAATGAGGGCATTGGTTTAATTAGCATGCTAATCAACCAAAGTTCTAGCTGCTGGTTGGATTTTGGTGTATTACTGTAATGAGAACTGAAACTAAATTTAGGCCCCGGTCACACGGAGCATTTGCCCCGCTGAAGGCACGGGAGTCCCGCGGAGTATCCGGGCACGATCACACGGGAACATCTGGGAGGCATAGCACTCCCGTGGCAAGCCGCCGAAGCCGCACAGTAAAAAACTAACACACCGCATGTAGTAGCAAACGCTTTGCCACGGGTCGCCTACGGAAGCCTGCTGGTGTGATTGCGCCGGCACGCGGCTTCCTCCCCTGTTGTCCTCTTTGCTGCGGGGAAGCCGCCATCGCGTCTGATCGCATAATAGCGCATCAGAATGCGACAGCGCAAATAGCCGCCCCCCCCCCCTGCGCGCGTGCGTTTTCCGGCACGTCTGGCCGGGGCCTTAGGATAGTTTGTTCTTGGATCATGAACTAGTAACTTATGCTTTCTTCCCCCAAAAGACATTTGTACTGAGTTTCTTTTATAATATGCAAATATATTTAAAATACATTCATTAAAGGAAACAGTAAACGGAAAACAGATTTTGATGGGTTGATAGCCTTAATGGTTAGTGCACGTGAACCAGATAGCACTGTGTTATTGTTGAGGACTTAACTGCTGCCAGAAAGGAGTTTTTAATTTTATTTATTAGATTTTTTAATTGTCACTCAACTGAAGGTAAAAACAACATAAAAACTAATAACAGATATAAAATATTATCATTAAGATACTAACATGTGGTTATCACCATGCCACTATTAAAACAGCCCAAACACGTTACCCCTCCAAAGGCCAACCAAAATAACTCAGCTTTGCATGCCATGTAGAAGCTAAACAAGTCTGGCAGGGCATGGGTGTCACCCGGGAGTGCATTCCACAGGACAGGGGCCACAACTGAGAAGGCCCTTCCCCTGGTAAAAGCTAACAGCCATTCTGGGGCCAGGAACCTGCAAGAGGCCCCTAGACAATGACCGCAGGGAGTGCAGGGGGTTGTAATGGGAGAGACAGTCCTGTAGGTATGAGGGTCCCAGACTGTTAAGGGCTCTGAAGGTTAACACCAACACCTTGAATTGGATCTGGAGACTAATTGGTAGCCAGTGCAGCTGCCTCCGAGTTGGAGTAATATGAGTGGACCATGATTGCACTGAAGTTTCTGTACCTGCTTAATGGCTGAACTATTTTTTGGGGGGGTTGTTCTGTTGCTGAAGGGTTTGTTGTCTCCCTGCAGGTGGTGAGAGAAGCTGCATATACTCAGACATCCCAAGCCCTGGCTAAGTGGGATCCAGTGGTGCAGCAAAACCGGAATGCTGAGCAGCTGGTCTTTCCACTGCAGCAGGATTGTGTGACCGTTGCACCCATTGAGGAAGTGATGGGCAATTGGAAGGTGGGTCCTGGTTTGGCTGGGTAGCTGATCTGAGGATTGAGTTTGGCCTGGACCCAGCTGTGGTATCTTCTCTATTCTCCTGGGGCTTTTGACGTACAGAGCAAGCTGTGTTGTTGACTTAATGGGTTGGAAAAGGAAGGGGTGTGTGTCCCATTTGATCACCATGAAGGCTGTGTTGGGGATCGTGGGACCTGCGTGGACAAAAGACATGTGGAGCAGGAACTGTATTATGGAGGGTATCCATGTGAAATAGCCAGCTGGATCCAACCCACTGTGATTCTAGCTGCTCAAGGTGCTTGTGATATGTAGGTAGTCGGACTTGAAAATCTGAGTTCTGGTCCTACTTCTGAGTCTGACATGGGCTCTGCATAGTAAGGGCCTCACTATCAGTTTCTTCCCTTGGAAACAAGAAATGCTTAACAGATTCATGGTGAGGCTGAGCACTTGCATCCAGGTGCGGCTGGGATTTTGCCTGATCGCCTGTCCCTTGCTTTTGGGTTACCTTTTTAAAAAGTCTTTGAAAAGACGGATTTAGAACTGGTGAATCATCTGATAACTGTTCTGATAGAATTTTATTGGGAAAATATATTCTTCCACCATTACCTGTTTTTTAAGAAATCAGATACAGAATGTTCCATTTATGTTTCAATTTGCTAATGATGGTCCAAATTCCAGAAAGCTAGGGAGTTAAACAATTTCCTAGGAAGCTGGTCTTTGCATATTGTGGATTGTAATGATGGAATGAATAGTAATGGAAGCCCATAAACTTGAATTTCTATGGTGGAAACACTTAGATCCATGGGATCCATCCCATCATGCTTTAGGTTTTATACTGATTTGTTTTTGTGATCAGGACTGATTATAATATAAACCACAGCGCTTGTGTGGTGCCTTGATAATTGGAAGTGCAGTAACATGGGTAATCTTTGGTGCAAGCTGATTTCACCCTCAGCCAGTGCCCGCTTCCGCTCCCCCACCCCACCTTGGGCCTCTCTTGCTGCCAGCTTGCTGCTCACAGGCCTGTCCTTATGCTGTGCCACCTCCTCAACATAAGCACCCGCCCTCTGATTGTAGTCAGAGAGTGTTCCTTCCTGCTAAAACGTCCTGTGCACAGAACCCCCAACCTTCTTGCAACAGCTGGAGGTGAAGGAACTGGGCTATACTTAATTGGAGGTTCTGGAATGCATGATCTTGTCCTTGTTTAAGAAAGGGATGATCCTCACTGAAATACAGAGTTGATGAAGTGCTGTGGATGCTTGCTGGAGAACAGCTGCTGGTGAGCTGATGGTAGGCTGAGTTGTCATGTTGAGAGCAGGGCTGCAGAGAGCCACTGTCGGCCCCAAGGTAAAGATTCTTTCTGGGCTGCCTCTCACACCACCCTGACCCAACCCAAACAAATGAAGCCAAATCACAGGCCTTTACGTTAGCGTGAATGGGGTATTAATTAGGGTTTTTTTCTGTGTGCATCTTACTTGTTCCTAACATTTATATCCTGCTGTTCTTTCAAGGAGATAGATGAAGATAGGTAGCCATGTTAGTCTGCCTATAGCAGTAGAAAAGAGCAGGAGTCCAGTAGCACCATAAAGACTAGCAAAATTTGTGGCAGGATATTAGCTTTCATGAGTCACTGCTCACTTCTTCAGATATACAGCTAGAGTGTGAGTCCATGTATCCTATATACTGGACAGTGGAGTGATTTCAAGTGCTGAATGACAATAGCAGGTGAATGACAATAGCAGGCATGATTGGATCAGGTGTGATACCAAAGGGGTAGTAGGAGTGGAGAAATCAGCATTGGTAATGAGACAGGAAACCTAGGCCTCAATTCAGTCCAGGTGAGTGCATTGGCTTGAGCTTCATTATCCATTGCAATTCAGCAGTCTCTCTTTCTGATATCCCTTTGAAATTCCTTTGTAAGAGAACTGCAACTCTTAGGCAAGCAACTGAATGTCCTGGAAGGTTAAAATGTTCTCCTCTAGTACCAAGGCTTGCAACAAACCAAGATGCCAACTTTGCTCTCATATAGATCCTAGCAACACCATCAGTGCACCCAGCAACATCAGCCATTCCATCTCAGGTTGATACTTCTGCTCATCCTCTAATGTGACTTATGCCATCATATGTCAGCAATGCCCTTCTACACTCTCTACGTTGGACAAACAGGCCAGTCCCTTTGACAAAGAATTAATGGACATAAGTCTCACATTAGAAACCATAACCTAAAAAATCCAGTAAGGGAACATTTTAACCTTCCAGGAGATTCTCTCCCCAACCCCGAAAAAATCTTGGTCTGTAAATGGTGGCAGACAGTATCCAGCTGTGAAAAATATATATTTAGTCTATAGCAAGTGAGATCCTCTGATCTCTATGTTCCAGTTTCTTCTCTCATTCTTATTGGATTGCCTCCTGCTTTTAGCTCAATTTAAGATCACTTTTCTGTATGCTTGCTCCTTTCCCCAACCCAAAAGCCCCGGACACCACTGGAGGAAGAGATCTTCAGTCTTCTCCACAAAACACGGCAGCCGGTGAGGGATCCACTTCTGACTCCCTATGAGAAGGCCTCACTGCAGGCCATGAGCCTGGAAGAGGTGAGTTTCTGCTCTCTACCACCCTGAGCCTACTTTACTTTGGAGTCTGCCCAGTGTCTACAGCCAGTTCTCCTCATCTTGTACATTTCAGGCTCAGCTGCGCCGGATGGAGCTCCAGAAGGCTCGGGCCTTGCAGTCCTACTATGAAGCCAAAGCACGCCGTGAGCGGAAAATCAAGAGCAAAAAGTACAGGATTGCTGTGTGCTGGGGGGGGGGGCACATTTTGCATAGTGGGCAGGTGGTTGTTTTGTGGGTGTGGATTGTGTTCTGAGGGTGGCTAAGCGGGCATCCCAATGTCTGGAAGTGCATGGGTGTTCCTTAAATTAGCAGAGTGGGAGGTGAAATTGGGAACAGGCTAGAAGACAGAACTGGGTGGGAAGAGGCAAAACCAGGGCAGGAGTGGGGCCCTTTTCCAGGAACCCCTAATATCTGCTTTGGGGCCAGGGGCTGTGCTTGCCCACAAGCTACCAAAATATTTTAGGAAGCTATGAGCAGTATACAAACACAAGCCCTGTCCAGTGTGGCTGGGAGTTGGTCTGAAGGACAATAAGTGGCCTGATCCTTGTGTCTCTTTAGCTTGGGGTCATGATAGCTGGGAGGAAATTGAGCTTGGTAGAGGTCTCTCTGATCCAAGGATCCTTTACGATATTGGGGGGTGGGGGGGTTGCCCTTGTTAGATGCACCTTCCCTGACCCCATGATTAAGCACAGACAGCTTAACCATGAGGTGATTGAATAAAGATATGGAGCAGAGGTCCATCAGTGGATATTAGCTACAAGGTATAGATGGAATGCTATGTCTGGGGCAGTGATGCTCTGCATTCTTGGTGTTTGGGGGGCAACAGCAGGAGGGCTTCGGGAGTTCTGGCCCTGGTGGAACCTGGGTTTTGGCCACTGTGTGACACAGAGTGTTGGACTGGATGGGCCATTGACCTTATCCAACATGGCTTCTCGTATATCTTTATGGTTTTCCACCTTTGGCAGAGCATCTGCTTTGCTTGCAGGTGGTGCCAGGTTAGGGTATTGGCCCTGATAGACTAGTGCATTGGCCCTGATAGACTAGTGACCTTGCTTAGTTTTGGGTGTTCATGCTGTGAACACTGTTTGAAGTCATCATGGCTAGGACACTAATAATCTCTGCACCTTGAAAGCTTGACTTATTCTTCAGTCAGAATAAGTAATGCCAATTAAGCAACTTTGAGCACAGAAGTCTATATTCGGAGCTGTGCCTGGTCTACAAAAGCACAGAAACTGCTGCTGCACAGAAACAGCTCAACTTTTTCTCCCCTCCCGCCCCATGAGTTTCTAGTCCCCAAGTCTGCAAAGGTCAAAACAGAATGACAAAAGGCAAAATAGTAGCAAATTGGTGGAAAATGTTTTTAGTATTCACTGTAGTTTTTGTGCACTCTTTTGTACTGGTGGACACATGCGTTATGTGAAACAAGCAAAGATAAATGCATCTGCTTCAATTGCATAACTGGCAAAAAGTTGCAGTCATATGGCACATACCCAGTCATGTGCATGTGCTCAGCAACATCCGACAGTGTTGGAAAGAATTTTTGCTAGAGCTGGGGAAGCTGCAGGAGACTAAGGGTATGGATGCTGGGATTGGGAAGGTTGTCGGGGTGCAAGTTGTGGGAAAGTAGCTGTAAGTAAAAACAGGAGCAATAACATTTGTAGGCTTAGAACCTTGCTTTTGTAAAAACTTGGACGAGCCCAGAATGCCAAATTCTGGTCACCGGCCAAATCCCACACATTCCAACTAAAATGCAGCCTGGGGATGAATGTGTGTAGCCCTAGGCCTGGTAACGGTGCAGCCCCTGCAAATTGGAGTGGATGGGCAGTGCTGGAGTATCCTGCTTTCCTGCCCCAGCAGGTGTTGCTGATGGTTCTTGCCTGTGCCTGAGACGTGGCCATTTTTCTCTCCCCAAAGGTACCACAAAGTGCTTAGGAAAGGCAAAAGCCGTAAGGTGCTGCAGGAGTTTGAGATGCTGCGGAAGAGCAACCCTGAGGCAGCCCTGGAGCAGCTGGAGAAGATGGAGAGAGCCCGTATTGAGGTGGGGCAGGCCCTTTTCCTATGGCAGTAAGGCCCTTTATCTTGTAACTCAGTGCTTACTCTGCTGCGTGCTGACGTGCTGACAGTTTCCTTTGTGTCTCTGGACAGGAGAGAATGAGTTTGAAACACCAGAACAAGGGCCGATGGGCCAAATCTACAGTCATCATGGCAAAGTATGACCTAGAGGTGAGTAGTGGGCTTGACAGATAAGGGAAGGGAGAGCTCATGGCCCAAGACTCTTATCAGCATCTAGTTAAACCAAGGCAGGTGCTGAAGAACAGTGGCTGGCTGAGAGATCAACCTCTGGAGGCGGGGCAACAGTCCAGCGACGTGGTTGAGTTTTCTCAGGGCTCTGAGACTCACCAACTTCTGGAGCTTTTTTAGGGGTCCATTTGGTTCTCCTTGGTCCCATCGGTTCGTCGGGAGTACGAACTGATTGCAGAGGACTTTTATATCTGAGCCCACCGTTTGTGGCAACAACGGGTGTGGAGTCAGAATCGTCCTAACGCAGGAAACACCGAAGATCAGCCGTGACAGCCGGCACTCTTAATGGCGTAATTCCCACAGAGACGATTGTTTACAAGAGTCTCAGCTTAAGTGCGAAATGGCTTTTTTAGCACAAATCAGACTGGCAATTGTCAAAACCTTTTTGGGATGAGATTATTCTACGAATGCAAACTAAAATACTTGAAGCTATCGCTCCATTTTTGGAACAAATCGAGAGTGTTTTTGAGAGTGAACAGACTAGTTTACTTGAAATAACAGACCCTCCATTGCAAATGACGCCATCCTTGTCCCAAAACCTCTACTGGTCTGGAGATGTGATTCCGAATATGAGAGAAGTAACAAAAGGCTACTCTGACTGCAAAGTCCCCAGTTTTCTTAGTTATCAAGCACAATGTGGCGTTTATACAGGCTGTGGGTTGTTTGATTTCGTATACAAGTAGTTTGGAAGGGGAGGGGGAGAACTTCAAAGTGTCTTCAGAAAAGGAACAGACTTCCAAGAGCTGCTACATAAGTAAGATTGAGACCTTCAAAGATCAAAGGCACAGGAGATTAACAATTTTGGGGAGACATTTGCAGGGAAAACTGTATAACCAGGGCTTTTTTTGTAGAAAAAGTCCAACAGGAACTCATTAGCATAATAGGCCACACCCAGCAGCAATAACTCATTAGCATATTAGGCCACACCCCTGACTGCACCACTCATTAGCATATTAGGCCGCATTCCCATGTTACCAGAAGTGTGGTCATCCAGCCACACCCACCATTTGCTTCTTATTCTGTTTACCTTGTTTGTTGTCAAAACCCAGGACCTTTTTTTGTTGCAGGAACTCCTTTGCATGTTAGGCCACACACCCCTAATGTAGCCAATCCTAAAACACACATTTGTTCATATATTATTTCTTTCTGCCTTCTTTTCTCTGAACCTTTACTGATACTTGATAAATGACTGATTAAGAATATAATCTGTAGTTACAAATATTGACTCTCTTTATTGTCTTAACTGATTAGTGAAAGTTAGAAGTAATGGTTGGTTTATTTGAAGCAATATGTTTTGGATATTTGTATTGCTCTACCTGATGGTTGATAAAAATTAAAGGGTAGTTTTGACTCTTAAAACAAAAGTAATGGGCTAATTACCTAGAGAAGGTGTAATGACCCTAAGTGTTGTGAGAGAAAAGAGGGATCTAAATAGTGTGAGGTGAAAGTATATTGGCATTGTAAAGTTGAGAGCTGATGTTATGGAAAAAATATAAATTACTACGTTTAGGTTTGCAAATGGGGATTTTGAAAGCTAACAATACTTTTTGAAATGTTGAAAGAATATCTTAAAGGGACTAGATTGATATTATATAAGAAATTTGAACTGTCCAACTGCTGTGATATACCTGATTTTTATATTTTTATATTTTTATTGTTATAAAACTGATTAATAATAGTAACAGCAGGTAGGATATAGAAAAAATGAATTGTTTATTGGGAATTTTACTTAATGTCATCTGTTGTGGACTATAGATTAACAAAGGGAAAAAGGGAATTATGTCTCTAAAGATCTTATGAACAAGGCAATGGCTGGATACCTTTGAAGTGTATGGCTCTCTTTTTTTTGTTTTATATAACTCTTTAAAAAACTAATAAACCTTGCCCATCAACAATGGGCAAGCAGGAAAAAAAAAGAGATCAGCCTCTGAACTTCCCAGATTGAATCTCACCTCCACTATGCACCCGTGTATCAGCCTTAGGCAACCTTTTCCTCTCCCATCTCCAAACCTCAGTCTACCTATATAGAATATGGGGACACTAACGCTACCTTACAGGGCTGTTGAAGATGTTACAGCAAGATAATGCACAGGAACTGCTTTGAACACTTGAAAGTACTGCACAAATAATCAGTGTTACTGTTGCTGAAAAATCTTGAAGCTTGAAGTGTAGCCCCCCAGAGGAGAAATAAAACTCCAGACTTTACCCGTAGAGATACTAGCAAGGTGCTTGAACAGTGATGTGGCCGTGATGGTGGGGAGAGAATTCAGAGCTTCCCCTCCCACCATATCCATCGTCATCTGTACAGCAAGATCCAAAAAAAGACTTTGGTGGTCAAATCATGACTCACAGCCTTCCAGAAAATTAGCTGACTATTGGAGAAATTTGTCTTGAAGGGGGAAAAGAAGCTGCTAAAGAATTGCATGGGCTGTCCCCCCACCCCAACCCGGGAATTGATAGTATTAGTTGATGTAAATGATGAACCTGGAATATAATGTGCTGGTCTGAAATCATTGTTACAGCAGTTGAACCAATAATTTCTTTTTAGACCTGCCAAATCATTGAGTCTTGCCCTTTTCCCCAGGCTAGGCGGGCCATGCAAGAACAGCTGGCCCGAAACAAAGAACTGACGCAGAAAGCACGCCCAGCATCAGACGATGAGGAAGAGGGCAAGGACGCCGAAGCAGAGGGGGCCCTTGTCCCCGATGTTATCAATGAGGGCCATGTTGGAATGGATCCAGACAACCCGTGGATGTTGGGCAAGCCCTCTGCAGAGTCAAAGGAAGAGCCTCGAGCTCCAGAGGATGACATGGAGGAGGAGGAGGAGGAGGAGGAGGAACTGGCTGTGTCCAGCGAGGAAGCTTTGTTGCAAGATTTTGCTCAACGCCGGCAGGGCCTGCATCATTTACAAGCCACAGGTGAGAGACACACAGTGAGCTGGCTGAGTGTGGGAAGACAGACAAGTGTTGGGTGTGGTTTAGGCTACCTCTGGAGTGTCGTGTTCATTTCTAAGGTCCATAAGTCCAAGAAGGTTCTGTAATATCTGTTGGCTAGAGTAAGACGGGAGATCCAGATTCAAATCCTGTCACGGAGCTCAGCTGCATGTTTGTCTGGCATTTCCCTCCCCCCCTTCCCTCAAGGAGGACAATGTGGTGGGGTGGGGGACCCTTCAGTCCTTTCTTCCCCTGGCATTTTCTCACTGGGGAAATCCCTCTCTGAGGTGCTTCCACTCCTGCTTGGGGAAGCTACAGATAGCTTAGCAGCTGCTGCCCAACTATAGAAACCTTCTAAATTTAAATTTGCACTCATTTTTAGATGTTGTGTGTCATCGCAGATGTCATCGTGGAACAGGCATTCCTTCCGCTGTGTGAGACACAGACTGGGGGATAAATGCCTGCCTTAAAAAGTCAGCTGACCTGACTGAGAGTATCTTTTCTACCAATCATGTTTTTATTTCCCCTTCAGGGAACACCCTTCCCCATTCTGTCCTCACAACGATCCTGTGAATTATGTTAGCCTGAGTGAGAGTGGCTGGCCTAGGCTCACCCAGTGCAATTCTGTGGTTGGTGGGAAGATTTGAACCTATATATGGTCTAGCTACTCTAACCATTGAACTGCACAAACTCTTAGAAAGGACATCCAAAAGGTTCTTGCAGTTCTAAATATTGCAGCCCTAAACGTTATGCCAGCACGGGGGTGGTGGGACATGCTTGTGTCACAGCGCTTCAACTGTGGTGGTCCATCTGCAGGTCCTGGTGGACAAGAGGCTGCCCTCACGTTGCCCGATGTGCTCCCACCGGCGCCCCCAAGCCCTGTGCCAGAGGGGCACCTCTTGAGCGAGAAGTTAGAGCGGCTTCGGACCTTAGAGGACATGGAGTCCCTGGAGCCAGAGGAAGTTGCACAGAGACCTGAGCCGGTGCGATCAGGGGATGCTAAACCTCTGCAGCCAATGGAGGTGGAGCTGTCGTCTCAGCCCAAGGGAGGCAGAGCCCCAGCTGCCAAAAACAAAACGACAGGCAAGCGCCAAGCACTCATTGATCTGAAGGCAGTCCTGGCCGAGGCATCCACTCCCACACAATGTCCGCTTGTGCCCAAGGCAGTACAGGATGAGGTGAGTGCCGGGGGCAGAGGGTCCTTGAAGGGGCAGTCTGAATGATTGGAAAGCTGCAGGGGTGCACATGGGTGGGGGTTGTATGTTTGTTTTTTGGGGGTACAGGGCTTCTGCATAGCAAACTAGTCCAGGGAGAAGACTAGTCTGAACTCCTGAATAATGTTGTTGTTGTTGTTACTATTATTAGTCCGCCCTCCCCTGAAGGGCTCAGAGAGGTGCACAAAATCCAACAAGTACATATCAATCAGTAGTTCAATTTAAACAGTTTAACAATTAATACGATACATGCAGTAAAACTAATCCAGGTGGCGTTTGATGCCAATTTATACTGTTTCCCTTGGGGGGAAGGAGGGAGAGGAACAGAGGCCAGGCTCAATGGTAAACCGTTGCTATCCTCAACCTGAGACCTGGCGGAACATCTCTGTCTTACAGTCCCTGCAGAACTCTACCAAGTCCCACATGGCATGGTTGTCACTAGGCAGAAAATGTTAATTTTTTTAATATGCAGCAAGTTCTGCCTATGTATATTCCAAGATGCAGCATGGTAGGGGCTAAAGACAGAGCATATGCTTGGCATGCAGAAGATTAATGCCTTGGTATCTTTGGTCTGAAAAGGATCTCAGGTGGCAGGGCTGAAAGAAGTCTTCTGCATGTCAGCTTAGAAAGCCAGTGCCAGTCAGAGTACGATGGGATGGGACTAGGCCATGTTACTGAATGCCCTTTGTATCCCCGTGCCCCAAGCTTCTCACCGAAAATGTATCATGAAAGAATTGGACTCTTCTGATTGGCATAAATTGGCTCTATAAGTTTAGCCAGCTGACGTGAAACAAGACCATCTCCCCATCATCCCCTTCACACTCTGCACCTTGAGCACTGGGCATTTGTGGTATATACAAAACTATCACACTCTGCACCTTGAGCACTGGGCATTTGTGGTATATACAAAACTATCTGAAGAGGGAAAACCCTCCCAGGACTTAAGAGAGTCTAGCTATGTGTTCCAGGGGTAGGGGTTAAAAAAGGGCTCCTTATTAGTCATTTACTTGGGCAAAATATTCCTTTTTGCAGAATACTGGAGTCAAGTCAGACTGAGTGTGAGCAAAACTAAGTTTTACTGAATTACCCCCAAAAAGTGTTCTTTAAATGTACTTCTGTGCATTTTGTTACTAGTTTTTGGGTGGGTGCAAGCTCATTCTTGAATTCAATTTATATTTGCCTGTAGAGTGCGACAGAACTTTCAGGGCAACTTAACACCTCATAAAAGTCTGGAGTAGTTTAAACCATAAAACTATCCCATGAAAATGTATATTAAACTGACAATTAGAAATAGAACATTAAAGATACCACAAGGTACATTCTTTTATTCACATTTTATCTGGAAGCCCAGTGGGGCCTTTTGCTCATATGGAAAGTCCATGGCTGATCTTATTTTCTTTTGCAGCTGGAGTCGGCCGCAGACCAGCGGCAGGTGATCCGTGAGGCCTTTGCCAGCGACAACGTTGTGGCAGACTTCATGAAAGAGAAGCGTCGTGCGGAACAGGACAGCAAACCAAAAGTAGTTGACCTCGTGCTCCCAGGTTGGGGTGAATGGGGTGGCACTGGCCTACGGCCTAGCGCCAAGAAGCGGAAGAGGTATGTTTTGGGGCAAGGCCTGGTCTTATTTGTATGTCATCAACTTGTGGATATTCATTTGTATGATATAATGTTCAGTGAAGACTACCTCAATGGTGGTTTCAGTCTAGAGGCCAAATTTAAGGCCTGTGATTTTAACGTGTGATTTAAGTACGCTGTATGATTGATTAATTTTAATTCATTTTTCATAAAGGCTCAACCTTTATGGTACCTAATTTTTTGGGTTGGCTTTTCATCCTCCCCTTTTTTGGTGTATTCAGCAAGGCATGGTGCCCATCCCTGCTCCAATCTTATTTTACCTGTTTCTTTATCCTTTTTTAAAAGGTTTCTTATCAAACCAGCCCCCGGACCCCCGAGAAGAGACCAACATCTGCCCCATGTGATCCTTAGTGAAAAGCGAAATATTTCAGCTGCCGCTCATCAGGTAAGGTCATTGTGTGGCCCCGGGCAGTTGGCCTTCACTGTTCCAGCTGCAGGGACAGTGGAACACAGGTGAGAAAGCAGGAGAGGGGAGGGCATAAAGGACTTTACTTTGGTTTGTCTAGGTTTTGGCTTATCTGCCCAGAGGACAGATGATGGGACATAATTTTAAAGGAAGGCGTAATTAGAACTCCAGCTGCAGAAGGCTGTGTCTGTGAATCTTGAAGCCTGGACAAAGGTTGTCAGACTCTGCTGTTGTGCCCTCCCTTCTGCTTGTGGGTTGACCTTGAGCCTCCCTCCCGCACAGGTGAACCAGTTGCCGTTCCCCTTCGAAAGCAGGCAGCAGTTTGAACGCAGCATCCAAACTCCCGTGGGCTCCACCTGGAACACCCAACGTGCTTTTCAGCGGCTGACAGCCCCCCGTGTCGTCACCCTGCCTGGTCACATCATCCCCCCCATCAGTGCTGAGGATGCCAACCTGACCCGTCAGACAGATAAGGTGAAAGCAGTGGGACAGAAACCTGCCTTGGATTTCGTGTCTCCTCCCAAGCATCGCAACCGCCACAGTGCCTCAAAGAAGAAAGCCCAGAAGCACAGTGCCTCAAAGAAGAAAGCCCAGAAGCGCTGAGTGCCCCCCCCCCCACCTCAGCCCCTTTCTCTTCTTTTGGTTCCTCCTTTCTGCGGATCTGCCACACTTTACTTTGCAGGGGTGAACATTATCAGTACCTGGGGCTATACACAAGGAAGCTGTGTGTTGCAGTCCCCTCAGTCTGCTTCAAGTGAGATGGTTTTAGCCTCTGCCCTTTTTCTCTCTCTCAGAGGACTAGCTCTGTTTCTGTTTTGGGTCAGTTCTTCTTCGGATAACCAGGTTGAGAAGGAAGTAAATTTTCCTCTCTGGAAATCTGAGCCAGGTGCAAGTCCATCTCTTCCTCCTGAGTTGCTGTGAAGGGCCCCCCATTAATTACTGTTTGTAAACAGTAGGAAGTATAACTGCATATTCATATGGCAATGGCCTACTCTACACAAAATGTAGAAACCAGGACCTGGAGTGTGTACTTCCCTGTAGTACATTGGTCCGGTGCTGGCTCAGGCCCAAAGTCAAAAATTACCCAAGCAATGCTGTCACCCTATTTCCATGGTATCCCCTGCATTATGGGAGTTTCTGACTATAGGGAAGCCATTTTTGATGGCATCCCCCCAAGATGACAGATGCCTATTCTGCCCCTGATTCTTTCCAAGATTAGCAGCACATTTAAAGAGCAAAATAAAAAAGGGTGGAGGAGATGTGCATGTTTATTTGAAATCTGCACATGCCTAGTCATATAACATACGTGGTACGGGCTTTTTCTGACCTGTCCAAACTTTCCTGGCAAATCCTTTGAACTCTCAACAGAATGAGTGGCTGATGATCACCATGTGACAGGCCCCTGAAGGAAGCTGCCATGCTCCCATTGTTGTGGGGGTGGGGGGATTACCATCTAAGTTACCAAGGATGCATTGTTGCTTCTGGGCTACTTGGGCTATTTGTCAAGGAATTTTTTTTTTTTTAAAAAAGAGGTCTTCTCATTCTACATTTCCATCCTTTTATTAAACTCTGTCTTCCCTAACAAAAAGGTAAACAAGAGATAGAAAACCAATAAAATTTCCAATGTCTGCTTTCTTTGGCTATACTTTTTTTTTGCTATTAGGGGAAAAATAGCCTCTGTACACTGTATTGTTTGATCTGGCTAGGACTGCCTCTCCAGAGTCTTGGGCAGAGCCCTACCAATTACATATGGCAGCAACTGAACCCCGGAGCTTCTACAATGCAAAACATTTATCACAGCCATAGCCCATTCTAATCACATTTTTATCCTGCCTTTCCTTTAAGGAGGAAGAATATAAGTTCTCTTCACCTTCCCTCATTTTAAACAAGGTAGGTTTGGGAGACTGGCCCAAGATCAACCACTGTGCTTAATGGCGGAGTGTGGATTTGAACCTGGTTCCCCATTTTTGTTTTACACAGTCATAGCTCTTCACCCCCCCCCCAGTTTCAAAGGAATCAAGAATTCTCACACACACACACGACACAAGATGCTGTGCGATGTGGAGGTAAGTAAAGGTTCCCTTGCTTGAAAGCCAGTCGAATCCAACTCTAGAGTTGCGGTGCTCATCTCCGTTTCAAAGCCGAAGAGCCAGCGCTGTCTGAAGACGTTTCCGTGGTCATGTGGCCGGCATGACTAAACACCAAGGCGCACAGAACGCTGTTACCTTCCCACTGAAGCGGTACCTATTTATCTACTTGCAATTTCTTGCTTTCGAACTGCTAGGTTAGCAGGAGATGTGGAGGTATGCCCACTTAAAATTTGCTTGGGCTGGCTTGGAGGATGCTTGTGGGTAGTACTCTCTGAATTGCCTGGAGCTATTATTTATTTGGATGTTTATACCCCCCTCTTCTCCCCAATAGTACCTAAAGCAGCTGGCAACTCTGTTCTCCTTCCTTCCATTTTATCCTCACAACCACCCTATGCGGTAGGTTAGGCTGAGAGTGAGTGACTGGCCCATGATCACCTAGTGAAGCGTCCATGGCAAAGCAGGGATTTCTGGCTTCCAGACTGAGTCTTCTAGATTCTAGCCTGGCACTCTAAACCACTGTACCATGACTGGCACCAGATTTGGCACATGGTTCAGTAGCTTTAGAAGCTTATTTCAGTCTTTGAAAAAAGCTGCTGTTCCTTACAACACAAAATATAGGTTTGACAGAACAGGTAAAACGTCCTAATATTTCAAAAGCCAAAGGAGGGGATAGAGCAGAGCAGGATTTTCCCCCTTGATTATGAAAAGCAGACTAGTTTAGAAAGCAATCAGGAACAAACAGATATATTTGATTTATGTAATATATATATATATGTTGTGACGTACTTGCTATTTGGGGAAACAGTTTTAGGGCTCTTTGTAGAAAAAGCCCAGCAGGAACTAATTAGCATAATAGGCCACACCCAACAGCAGGAACTAATTAGCATATTGGGCCACACCCCTGACACCACAGCTCATTAGCACATTAGGCTGCTCCCACATGTTACCTGAAGTGTGGTTATCCAGCCACACCCACCTTTTGCTTGTTATTCTGTTTACCTTGTTTGTTGTCAAAACCCAGGAGATTTTTTTGTTGCAGAAACTCCTTTGCATGTTAGGCCACACACCCCTAATGTAGCCAATCCTAATGAGTTTCTGCTATTGGGTGTGGCCTATTATGCTAATGAGTTCCTGCAAGGCATGGCCAACTTGGGAGCCAGCCTTCCTGTGCGTTCCTGCCCCAAAATAGCCCTGGTTTTACCTTTAAACACTCTCTGTATATAAACTTGGTAGTTTTCTGCTGCCACCAGGAATTAAAAACTCCAATTCTCTCTCTTGTGGTAGTATGACCTAGGTCTGAGCACTTCAGAGGACTATGTGACACTGAGGAAGTACTGTACTGATTTCTGGGATAAGTTTAAACAAAAATTGATTTATTTAATAAAGAACAAAATAGGTTTCTGGTTATTTTGAACAGTTGCAGAAGAAGGGAACTTGTAAATATAACTGGCAAAGCTTGGTGCGACAAACAGTATCCTTAACTCCAAACTCCACTCTGACAGGCTTATGCACTCAGTAGACTCTCTCTCATATATATATATATAGCCACACAGACTAAACGGTTGGTCTTACACAGAATTAGACTCAGAATTCCATAGTCACACAGACTATGTTCTCTCTTCAAGCTTCACGCAGAATCCTTCATAACTCTATCACACAGACTCTCTTCAAAACTCTTCCATACTTGTCTCATATCACTGAATCTCCTCAGACACCCCTCCTCCCACACTCAGTCAGCAGCCAATCAAATCACACTTGTCACCCTCTATCACTCTCCTTACAGAACTGCCTTCAAACTAAGCAATTAAAGGAACACACACACCAAAACATGGAATCATTACATATGTGTATTTAAATCATTTTTAAAAAATACATAGGCCCCGGTCACAGGAGAGGTTTTGGGCCGGGAGAGGGACAGATCGAGGCCGCAGCAAATGGGCGTGATCCCACCGCAACATCTGGGAAGCGTTGTGCACCCGTTCCCGATCCGCCCCTTCTGCCCATCAATGCCGGCCGTGGGATCGCCGGCGCAACTTTCCGCCAGAGCATCCCCGGCTGAACTGCGCATGCTCAGACATGCGCAGTTCGGCAGCCTCCCGATCATCTCTTTCTCCCCGGCATCTGATCGTACCAGGGAGCAACGGCGCCGCAGCTCAGGGGATCTGTGGGATCCCGCTGCGGCGTCTATTTTGGTGTGGTTTTTAAAAGCCGCACTTTGGCCCGTTATTTTCCTGCCGTGTGGCAGGGACCATCGTACCCTTTCTGGGTGAGAAAACTTCATAGTAAGCTAGTTTGGTGTAGTGCTTAAGAGCGGTGAACTGTAATCTGGAGAACCGGGTTTGATTCCACGTTCCTCCATGTGCAGCCAACTGGGTGACCTTGGGTTAGTCACAGTTTTCACAGCTGTTCTCTCAGAGCCCTCTCAGGTCCTCCGATCTCACAAGGTGTCTGTGGTAGGGAGAGGAAGGGAAGGCGCTTGTAAGCTGCTCTGAGACTCCCAGTGAATGGTGAGGTATAAATCCAACTCCTCTTCTTCTGAAATGATAAAATGCCTCTTGCTTTAGGGTCTTCAATGCTGACTTGTCTTTCTTTGTATGATTCATAAATTGGTTTATCCCTCTAAGCTGAGTCGGCGTGAGCTAGCTCACAGTTTTTAAGCCTCTGGCTCACACATTTTCATCTTTGCTCAGGAAGGATGGCTCCAGAGCAAACTAATTCATGCAGCAGCCAAATCGCTCGCTCACAACTTTAATGCCAGTAGTTCACAAAGTAGAATTTTTGCTCACAAGACTCCACAGCTTAGAGGGAACATTGCTGGGAAGGTGTTGTGGCTCAGTGGTGGTGTACGTGTGTTGTATCCACAAAAATGGTGCAAGTGGAAGTTCAGTACATTCAGTTAATGGAAATAAGGTAGCAAGCGTGGGGGAAATCTTTTCTCCGAGACCCCAGTGAGCTGCTGCTAGCCAGACTAGACAAAAACTTGATGTACCCAATTAATCTGACTTGATATGAGGCAACTTCCTACGTCCATCACAGTATTCCTTCCAGCCCAGTAAAGCAGGACCAGTTTTACCCCCAAGGTGGAACTGAATGAGAGTCGCTTGCCTAAGGCAGCCACCTTGTGCCCAAGAGGAGACCCGGAGCAGGGTCTTTCCCGATCATAGCTCAGTCCTTTGTCCACTTAGCATCAAGTTCTGTGAAACCCGCTTACAATAAAGCAAAACCTGTCCTTTAATTATGGAGCCGAGCCTTTTGAAGAGATTGTTAGGGGAGGCTGAGTTGATTTGGAGCTCTGTTTTAGTAGCTAGCAGGAAGTGAGCTGGCCTGGGCATTTTTTGAGTAATTGCAGGAGAACCGTCTCCGATTTGGGATGAACTAATTTGTTTAAAATGCCCTAAGCTTTTGGGCTGTATTTTCAAGAATAAGGCGACTTTGGTAGACCGACCGTGTAATCCTCTGCAGAGTTATTCCAGTCTAAACCCACAGAAAAGGGTGCCAGGTAAGAATAACTGCATAGGATTGTGCTGTTTAGGGAACTAATGATTTATTTATTATTTATTTATTTAATTCTA